AGTTATCTCATCCTGGCTTATCAGAGTTCATCTTTATAACCTGAGTGTCAATGTATACAGGCGGGGGGAGGTTATCCTGGCCAGAAAATTTTTCAATTCTTTTTTCATCATTCTGGACACTTTTCAAGTGATTTTGGCAGTCAAATGTGAACCTCCCTGGAATTTTTGACCTCTTTGGCAAAAGCCAGCCTGGTCTTAGTACTGTCAAATTCATGGTTTCAAATCGAGGGTTGAGGTAACATACAAGGATAACTCACCAGTTGATCATGTACATGCATATGAAATATTGCAATGGGAGAAAACTGGTAAATTAAAGTAAATTGGTAAGTGAATAAGTGAATAGCTATGATTGATATTGACACGGGCCTCCCTGGACTGTATGTCAGCTCAAGTAGATGTTTGAAGAGCAATTAGCAAGACCATGGGGCATTATAAGATATCAAGCCCTTACAAATGATCTCATTCTTAAATCCATGATATCATGTTGCTGAATTTTTTTTAAACTGAGTTTAATGAATTGATTTTTCATTCATGCCAATTACGGAATGCCAATCTTAGTGATATATACTTTCAATTTGTTCATTTTTAGAGTTTTTACAATTGAAGTAATTGAATATCAGTTTAGATTTTTTGTAAGGGTTGTCTTGATGGATTGATGTCCATTGAGCAATCAATGGTTATTATAAGAAGTGAAACAAACTTGTCATTGAAGAGTGAAGTCAAGATCATGTCACAAAATGACCATACAATCATATGCTAAATTAACTATTTCAATTTTCTCTTGGATAAATGTTACAGAACTAATAAGTTGATAGAATTTTCCCATTTGACTTTAGTATTTACTAATTAGGGTATCTAGAGTATTACAAATTTCTGTCACAAATTTTTGTCATGTATGATAAGTGTATAATGTTATAATAGAGTGGCACATGCTCAGCAGTCCCTCAAAATTGCATCCAGAGGAATTTTGACCTACCTTTACTCAATATACCAAATTGAAGAATATACATTTTGCTTTTTGGCTACATTTTGAGCAGTTTTGCAAGTCTGTATGATGTATTGGGAGGGAATTATTACTTACCATAATAGAGATTAATTTGACAGTTTTTATCATTAAAAATGGCTAATTTTTCATTTGTATCAATATCACCAGATAAAATTACATATTGTGATTGTGTTTTACATTTATGTGACCTCGTTGGTTCCAGGAATAGAAAATCGAGAAACACCATGAAGCAAAAAATGTGTATAATTTAGCATATAGCTTTACTTGGTGTATTGTACATGGGGATTTTAACTTAATTCCAATTATCCATATTAAATTGGACATGCTTTGAAATAAGAAGTTTAAGATCTCCGTAGGGAGAGATTATCTCCTTTGTAATGCATTAATTCTCTTTATGGACATTTCTCCCTTTTATGAATGGTTTGAAATCATCTATATTAAAAGGCCGTTGGTTATCTCTTTTCAATTAAAATTTAGTTATAAACATCTGGAATGTTTTTTTCGTGAAAATTTAGAAATTCAAAAATAGATAAGGCTGGGAAAAATATTCTGAATGTGTATTCAATCCCAGACACTTTATGTTTGGCATAGCATTAGGCTAAATAAGCTCTGAGAATTTGTGTCTTTGAATGCAAGTACAAGATCTCATTGTAATTGAACAAGTTAACAGTAGAAAGTTGACCACAAACAGTACACATTTGCTGGATTACCCTCACAAAAAATTACAAAGTTTCCGATCCCCAAAGTCATTATCATTTTAATGATGAGTAAAACGTAGTTCTTCACAGTCAAACTCTTAGAAAATGTTGAGTTTCTGTCACATTTGAGTCTCATTTTTTAGATCTGAGCTCATTTTTCAGAAAAGAAAATTGTAAAGTAGATTGTAAGGGTCAAGAGTGGATTATCAGTGGCATTGAAATAAGTTGTTAGACCATTAAGGATTTATTTCAAAATCTGTTTCTTATGGTCACCTACCCTTTAAACAAAAACTGACATCACAATTGTATCCAAGAAAATCCCTGAAGAATTTTGCCGATGGTAAGAGTGTTACCCACAGGGTTAATTAACAACTGAAGTGTTAATTCTTTGCAATGTAGAACTCTAATGGTTTAGAGAGGATCTAGGGGCAAATGGGAAAAATAGGATACGAAGGAATTGTTAGGGGTTCAAGTTTGTTTGGTTTGGGCTTGAAAAGGAAGGTGAGAGGATGTAATGCGCTTACTCAGGGCTTTTAAAGTTCTTAACTTGGTCTTAGTGTATTATGCTAAACCATGACTGGCTCCAGTGAGTTTATTTACTCTTTGAAATTGAGTTTGATGACCTTTGCAAAATACATACATTTCCTTATTTGGTCAATTATTTTATCTCTGGAATTTGAAGTTTTGAACACCCTTTGTGAATCTTTCAGTACAACATGGCTAATACCCTAATTTGTTTTTCTACTAGCAGTTAGGTTATTAAAGCTTCTCACAGATTCTATACTATTATGTGTCTCATTTTGTTAAGGTAAGTTCACCCTTGAAATCCAACATTGACATATTTTCTTGACAGATCAATTCCTTTTTCCATACAAGGGCCCATTGTTGTGGATGAAGAGAGTTGAGTAGTTTATAGTAAAGAAGGAAAATCCAGATTTCTTGTGTTTTCATTCATAGAAATTGTAGTATCTGCCAAATGCACGATCACTAGCCTGACTTATTTTTTCTCCAAACTGTAGATGAAGTTAGCAGGGGTCCATAGATGAAATGAAAGGCTAATGATTTGGAAATAATCGTGTGATCTCAAAATATCAAGAAAAAGCAGGAACATGAAGACAATTGTATTCAAATCAAATTCTTATATTCATAGAATAATTGATGAAAATGATATTTATTCAAATAAAATGGTTATTAATATCCATTGAATGATTAAGAGAATATATAGAATATCAAGTTCACTCAATTTAAAGCATTAAATACCAGACTTTTACCCAGTTATTTTTTAAATGTTCAAGATTCTGGGCTCAAATTCTTAAATTAACGAGTCTGACCAAAGTTTGTCAATGTTAGTTCTTTTGAGTTTCAAGCAGGTGCAAATGAGTATTCAGGTGGGTGCAAGTCTATTATCCAAATCTCAATGTGGTGCATCACACATTTGGTTCAATTTTGGGTTAACATTGATTACTAATTACCACATTAACTCTGTTTTTGGTGGGTATTTTAATATAGGAGGAGAATTTTGCTATATTAGAGAGGTGTTCACTAAGGATGTTCACATCAGAATTGTTCATGTTAAGCCTTAGATAAGTAGTCAAATTCTATGATATGTGAACAAGTGCAAGTTTTTCAGCAATTCATGTTTGCAGGTCTTCCCAAATCAGCTATTTAATTTCATTACTTATATGTGTATGTGCTACATTATGTTCCCTAGGAAACCTACATATAATTTACCATTCCACCCTTTCAGATGTGATTATATAATATATCTCACATTTTGAAAAAAATCATGAATTTGTGTTACACTTAAAAGTCTGCTTCATGTACATATTCGGCCCCATTCATCCTTTGCATTATATTTTGCATTTTACAATGAGACTATATTGGAACATTTGTTTCAAGGTTTGGATCTAAAAGATTCTACAAGTATATAGATTTCCTAGGAGACATGACATAATAAATGCTGCGCAACAAATTACTCAGCCAACTAACCTTTCCATCAAAATGTGCGTAAAAAGGAAATATCATTTCTCGAGAGAAATACAAATTCACGCTTTATATTTCATTGATAGATATTTTGTTTCCTTTTTCTAGTCAGTCTTCATTAGCTCGTTCCTTTGAAACAGGATTAAGTAAACACAGGGGATTTTTATGAAATCGCAAAGTTTGAGGGCACCTATTACCACTGTCCTGGGATTGACTGATTCAGTGTTTCTACGACTTTAAGGTGTTAGATATCTTTGTTGCATCATCAGTTAATGTTTTAGGTTAATTTAACAGCCAGCTTGGGGATTGTGAATGCAACTCTATTATGGGAAAATGCATGCAATCATACTACGTTCAATATATACAACTACAGAGAATTCATCATGCTGTAGTAGCATCTAGGTTGGCATTTAAAAGAAACTCAAGGTGGCTTACAATGTAGATAGTGTACATTTTGCATACAAGCTAGTCCCTTCTATTGAACCAAAATTGTCTTATTAGGCATTTTGAAACTGTTTGCATTATAAGGTTATAATTCATAAGATTTTAACTTAAGATATTTTTTTTGCTTGGTTTTGATTCTATTTATGGTTTAGTTAATATTTACATAAGGCCATAAGAAGTCGATTCTTTGTTTTGCGTCCCCTTGCTTGCACAATTTTGAGTAAATCAGAAAAAACAAACACATCCAAATAGCAATCACAAAGATCTGAAAGTAGCATCGCATTTATTCAATCAGAATCAGACAAAATGGGGGATATTTTAATGTGCATCAAAATTGACAGTGTTGTTGGCATACATTGTGTATTTTCTTATTTTTTTACCCTTGAATAATAGCTATTAGTTTAAACATAGACTTCAAATGACAATCTATAAGCCTAGATATGTGTTTGTAATCACTGCAAATTAGTATGTCATCCCTTTTTATGCCCATAAAATGTACACATTTCTCAGCAAACAAGTTTTTTTTTCTTGAGTTTGTGTTTGTTTTCCTCGTACCCTTGCATGATTTGTATTTTGCCAGGACGCAAAACAAAGAATCTACTTCTTATGGCCTAATACTAATAACCAGATGAAGTATTTTGTTGTATTACAATATTGTTATGTCACCATATCACCAGAAGTGGTTACATATCGTTATTGTCTCCAACTTTTTTGGGGATGGTGTTCGGTGGTCAGCATTTGGTGTTCGGTGGTCTGTTTCTAACAAATGGCAGGTGGTGACATTTTGCATGTTAATGCCTTGTATTTCGTTATCCTGAAATTTTCCTGCATCAATGCATGTATTTAATTTTTGATCTTATGTTTTCCAGTGCTAATCATGATAGCAGGCCTTGTGGTTCATCCAGTTGGTTTAGGATCTCAATTTGTGCAACAGCATTGTCCTGGATCAGGAATGTACAATGGCGGCCACTGTCAGCTCGGCTGGGCGTATATGCTAGGAATAATGGGCACATCTTTATCAATGTTTTGCCCGTTTCTCTCTCAGTACATTGACATGAAAGTACACGATTATCACCAGTCATTTGTGTGAAGGTCATGTATGTGTACATTCAAGGTTGTGTATGCTTACATACATGTACTTCCATAAAGGCAAACGTAATTCCAATCATAACGGGGATATCTGTGGCTCTACATCGACTAGACTCTCAAAAACATTTGCGACTTCCACCATGATGAGGACCGTTGAATGTGTATGAGCATGAAGAGGAAAAGCAATTCCAATATGCATGTGAATCTCATTGATCACACTCTCAGAACTTTGGAAAACATTGTGATCACCATCAGCATTTGGACATTGTTCATTGTGAATGTATCACAATAAACATGAATGGAAATTCCAATACAAGTGTTCACATATACAATATGAGATAATTCCACATTGATGACACTACAGTGTTCCATGAGGAGGACCTAATAATACTTGTGATAATGAACAGCTACTCCTATCCTGAAGTTTGTATACAGGGTGGTCCAAAAAAAGTGAACCCCTGCAACAGGCTACAATTTTCTTAATGCATGCATGAATTGGCTCATATTATCACATGTTGTAGAGAAAGATCTAAAATTGTGGTTGATGCCATAATTTATTCTCCGTCTTAAATTTTGAAAAAATAACAAGCGTTTAACAAACATGCCTGGAAATTAGATATTGTACAAAATTTTACAAATGTGATTCATGGAAATTGTTGAAACACATTGGATGATCTTAAACAGCTTTCAGTTAGAGGTACAAGTTTAAAACCCTAGCATATGACAAAAGGGACACTATTCAAGCAGAAAACACATTTCACACTTTCATTGATCATTTTGAAGCATTTTTAACTGTTCAACAGTTCAGGGGTATGTTACCTACACCAACAGTTAGAGGGGGGCCTCTTATGGTAGGAAGTTGCCCCCTGTGACCAGGAATCTGATAACCCCTTCATCAAATATCTTTAAAAAATCAAAAGAAAATCCAATATTCAATGTTTTGAGCCATATATCATGAGAATTGGTCCATGATTTATGAAGATATTGACATTTCAAGATCATATAGGGGTATGTTCATGATTTCACTGGAAATTTTTTTCGTCTGTGGAAGCTTAGCACATCTCTTTAGATCACAATAACTTTGCAACTAACAAATGTAGGATGCTAGTTTTAAGCCATAATGTGCAAGATTTAAAATTGAACAAATTCAGAAAATATTAGTTCTTTAAGACAGCAGCTTAAAAAATTCTCAGGGGAAAGGTGTTAAAGGGTCGAAGAATCGCAGATATTGAAAATCACAATTTGTCCATTTTCAGTAATGTTTGGTTAGGGCTTATAATTTCTGCAAATTTCAAGACTAAGAAAAATGTATGGTACCAACATAAATTTTAGACCTTCCTCTACAACATGTGAAAATAAAAAATAATTCCTGCAAGTAATAAGGGAAATATGGCCAGTTGCAGGGGTTCACTTTTTTTTGGACCACCCTGTATATATCTATGTGAATACACGGGTGTGATTCAGACTGGCATCCTACCATAAGTTATCTTGTGGTATCATCAGCTTCACAGTCTTTACTCCTTAGCTATGATACCAAGAGCGATGGGGGTTGGGATGCAGGCCCGTAGCCAGAGGGGGAGCTGGCCAGAAATTCTTTCAAAATCGTGCAGTGTTTCACCATTCTGAGAATTTTTCGCATGATTTTTAGCCAAAATTGTGAAAAAGCTCCCCCCTGGAAAAAAGCTCCCCCTCCTGGTAAAGGCTAGCTACGGGCAAGGGATGATACCTGTGTATATAGTTGGACCACTTGCTACAAGTTCAGACATTACCAGACATATGGATGTTATCACCTTAAGCATGGGCTTTCAATTAGAGCCTTAAGGTAGACCAAAATGAATGAGTAAGATAACATACTGTCACCATATGCAATGTGCATATAGTTCATAATTCATACTACATGCCCTACCTTAACAGTGATTACTACATCCAACCATATGTGCACATTGATTCTGATGGAAGCAATTCCATTTCATAAAGTGCTTTGTGTTACTATAGCATTTACTCCATTTTGCCAAGTTAATGTGCATGACAACAGTCATAATGTGACTATAGTTACAATCTGATTACAGTCATGATGTGATTATAGTTACTTATAATGTGACTACAGTCATACTATGACTAATTTTAATGTGACTACAGTCATAATGTGACTATAGTTATAATGTGACTACAGTCATAATGTGACTACAGTCATACTGTGACTTCAGTCATACTGTGACTACAGTCATAAAGTGACTACAGTCATAATGTGACTCCAGTCATAACGTGACTACAGTCATAATGTGACAACAGTCATAATGTGATTCCAGTCATATTGTGACAACAGTCATAATGTGACTACAGTCATAATGTGACTATAGTCATAATGTGACAACAGTCATAATGTGATTCCAGTCATATTGTGACAACAGTCATAATGTGACTACAGTCATAATGTGACTATAGTTATAATGTGACTACAGTCATAATTTGACTACAGTCATATTGTGACTCCAGTCATAATGTGACCACCATATAATGTGAACAATACCTCTTGGGTATGATTTAAGTATTTAACACTGCAATAACAGACCATGGGGTCCCTTTTTGAAGGAAATGTCCTCTATTGTGCACTGACAGACTCTAACATACAACCACACACCACAGCTTTTTTATGTCACCACCACAAGTGGTGAGATACTGTTATAGTCTCCAACTTATGTATGGACAGTGTTTGGCAGTTGGTGTTCGGTGGTTGTGGGCCACTTATGTCAGTAGTCTTGCTTCAAGGCCCTGGACCTCACCCCTTATCTACTTTACTGAATTGTAGTTAAGGTAAATAAGAGGTGGGGTCCAGGGTCTTGAAGCAAGACTACATGTCAATGGTTCAAACAGTTTCTTTTGCCTATAACATGTTGGGTAAAACTCAGCTGAAATAATCAAAAAAAGAAAACTCTATACCAAGTAGAGCAACTCAATATGAATATTTGAATGTAAAATTAAATAAAATGAAATGTAATTTCACTTGTACAAAGCATTGATACTCCATATAAACAATAAATGTGTACATAATGCCTTATTTATTATATGTATATGTATGTTGTCATTTTGTATATATTTACAACAGATTAAATGTTATCAAACAATCAATAAATGAACTGGATTAAATGGAAACAGTCTTGAGTTGTTATTCAACAGTTCAATGATCAAAGCATCAATGATCAAAGCAAACCAGGAGATCAAGTCTTTGATCTTTACATGATCAAAGGTGATCCAACACACAGGTGCAAGATGATCCAGTATCTTATCATATTAATTAAGTGATTTATCTTCAAAGTGAGATTGATTAAGTCTGATAGGCCAACATGCCTCCAGTGGGAGACGGAGAATCCTGGGAAAAGACTCCTGTGGGTTTTGATGCTATTTGATTAAGTGCAAAACATTTTAGAGTAATTATTCACACATTGAAACCCAACAAAAGCCACTCACTAAATTGGTTTTGTTTGGTTGTGGTAAGGTTGAAAATTCCAATCAATCCTAAAGCATTCCTAAAATGACTGCCATTTCGCCAAATCATTTTTTATAAATAATTTCATATTTTCTCCAACAGCTATTCATACCATTACAAAAGGCAACAGTTAACAAAAATATTAACAAACATGAACTATTAAGTTTAACCACTAGATATACCCTCATTTCTAATGAAGCCCTAGTCCCTCAAAGTCAATCATTGAAACCTACTGTATGTTATATAATACCGATCAAATGAGAAATGGCAGAACAATACATTTCCCAATAAGCTATTTGGATGCCAGTGGTGAAACAAAAGCACAATCGGAGTGCCTCTTGACATTTCTGCGTTTGGAGATGTAAAAGTCATTCACATATCTACTTACTGAATACCAGGTTCCAACTTATTTCAATGTTCATTTGAGTTTTTGAAATTACACCAGCCAATCAAAATTGATTGTCTCCAAATTAAGTTCTTCCAAAATATTTCAAAATACTTCTGATTATTAGCTCAAATGATATGGCTGAACTTCATCATCAACTTTAACACACTTATCAAATGCTAATCCAAGTTCATATTCCTATCAGACAAAACATTTGTTCTCAACACAGTAAGCAAGGCATTAACATGCAAAATGTCACCGCCTGCCATGCGTACAGACGCCGAACGTCAAACCGCCGAAGAACCCGCGATCAACGTCCACTAAAAAAGCTGAAGTCACCAGTTGTGCTGGTGACATTCTGGGTGACATGATAAACTAGATCTGATTATAATCTTTCAGCACCAGATAAACAAAGGCAATCATCAACTCCCAGGAATCCCAAAAAATAAACTGTGAAAGTAAAAAAGCCCATCCCAAATCAAGGGCTGAGAGGAATCGCCCCGGGGCCTATGGTTCAGATTAGCAGGTGTTCACAATTCAAGGTTTAATAACATGTCAGTCAATGGGAGAAAACAAATGTGGGACAGAAAAAATGTGTTCATGTTGAGAGATGTTCCGATTAGATAGAGGGGTGTTCGGATATACAGGTTTCACTGTACACGAACAACCACTGTCCCGAACTACCCCGATTGCTAAATGTAGCCTTCAATCTCCATACAGTGATAAACACACCTCAGCAACTCAATAAAGATACATAGCTGTATGATTAAATGGAGATGCGGGATCACTATAAAAATAGGAATCGTTTGAAGGATGATAACATATCTCACTGAAGGCAGTGGGTAATTGCAGGTGCACTTGTATAGCATGGTGGTCATCGTAAAATGCTTAATAGCCCAGAGAATTAATGGGTGAAGATAACATAAAATAGCGTCCAAATTAACAAACCGAGAAATTGTAAGCTACTGATTTTGGAACACAATGTTAAATCCAAGCACTGAAATGCAAATGGTTTGGTGCATTTCCAATACAAATGCTTAAATTAGAGAAGTAAGCAACATTTCGCCTCCAAAATAATAACAAGTGTAATTCAAAATTGCATTGGTTACAACTATTGAAGAATCAAAACCACACAAACGCCCTTTTAACATCTAAATAACCAAACCTTAACAAAAAAGCATATGACAAAAATTTCGAGAATGCATAAAGGGCAACATTAGAAACAGTGGTTGTAAGAGTTAGTAATTTTGAATCAAGTCTCTGGGGGCAACAATGAAGGAAGTTGCTTAACACATACTGGAGCTTGTGCTTGTGTGTTTCTCCAGTATTACCATTTGTGTTTTCTCGTTTACATATTAATTAACGTTTAAAAAACCCTTAACTGCTTACCTGAGCCATTCCCTGTAATCAATATAATTAAGACCTATGTCTAATAGCTACAAGCTACTAGCTATGTAAACCATAATTGCAAGCCAACATGTATT